CACAATCCTCGGAGAAACTTGTGTGTGTGCTATGCTGCCCAGCGCATCAGCTGCCACCACACGTGACATGCAGCAAGTCCCAGCGGAGGGGAACGAAAGACACTCTGGATTTCAGAAGCTTGGTCTAAAACAAAAAAAGAACGTAAAATACCTTATTCATAGTTTTTATGCTGAGTGCCTGTTGGAACAATCTTTCTACTTAAGTGGCTGCTGGCAAATCTGAAGTTACGTGCGTGGCTGCCCCGTGCAGCTCCCGCTGCTGGACAGCGCCGTGCAGGAGGTGCAGCTACGTGCTGGGACCGGGGCGGGAAAATGGGTTCCTGGCTCTGTGGAGGGGCCGCACTCGAGCCGCTCTGGAGGAGGAGCACGGTCATGGCCATGTGGTGGCCAAAGGAGCGGCATCCCAGGCTGAGGGCACAGCGTGGAAGCAGAGGCAGAACAGAGAGCAGTGAGAGTGGCCACAGGTGGGATGCACGGAGAGACCCGGCCGCCAGAGGGCGCACTTGTGTGCACTGCCCGGTTTGGTCCGGTTCCCTCGGGCCCGTGAGCCAAGGTTCTGGCGGGGAGGCTACTTGCTGGAGCTGGCTGTGCCACCGAGACCTCAGGGGCACGCGTGGGCAAGGCTACTGGAGTATAATCGGAACCAGGGCCCTTTGGGGGATCAGAAAGTAGACCCACTCGATAGATCCTGAAGGCACAACGAACTGGACGTGACTCATGGCCAGAAAGATCTACGGTGCCCAAGAGCCCATCCACAAAGAGTTACCGCTCTTGCTGGAGACGGCGGTGAAGGGAAAGGTCACAGGTGGCTCCACACTTCCATTTCCAAGCGTGGGGAACAAAGGGGGCACGGGCAGAGGGAGCGTGTGGGAGCTGGGGGAGGGCCTGCGGGGTGGGCAGTGCCGGTGCTGGGGTCGGGGAGGTCACATCAAGGGAGAGCGCAGAGAAGAGGGGCGGGCACAGGGCCGGGCCGTCCTGGCTGGGGGTGGGGTGGAGGCAGGGGAAGCCGGCAAGCCCCTCGTGCGAGGAGCCCGGCAGGAAGAGGGTCAAGGAGGAGCTGGTGGCCGAGTCAGGGGGCAGGAAGGGCCAGGCTTGGGCCTGGTGACCGAGGGTAGCAGGTGACCCTGCAGACCTGGTGGAGGCAGGGGTGACAGGAGGGGCTGGCAGACCCAGGAAGGGGTGGGGCACAGGGTCCCCTGACGGCCGCCGCCCTTCCGAAGGTGCCCTGGGACGATCTCCGCTACCTCTTTGGGGAAATCATGTACGGCGGCCACATCACCGACGACTGGGACCGCCGGCTCTGCAGGACGTACCTGGAGGAGTACATCCAGGCGGAGATGCTGGAGGGAGAGATCCTGCTGGCCCCGGGCTTTCAGATCCCCCCGAACCTGGACTACAAGGTGAGGGCTCCTTCCAGGGACGGGTAACACATTAAACATGAGCTCCCTCTGTGACGCAAAGCAACAGAGGTCAGTGCCGTCCCGCAGGCTCCCTGGCGAGAGCCTCTGTCGCAGACGGACCACCAATAAGCAAGCGGACAGGCAACCCAAGCAAGAGGCCTTGAAAGGCAGCCTCCATGGAGGAGAGTGGAAACTTCCTCTGTGTGCCTGGGGAGCAGCCCCAAAAGGGCGTCAGGGAAATGAGGTTTGGTACAGAGGGCAAGACGTGGACAGAACGTTCTGGGAAGCGATGCTTAATAAACGGAGGACACGGGTTCCAGCTCACACAGCTCTCCCTGCTTACCCACCCCCCCCTTTTGCAGGGTTACCACGAATACATCGACAAGAACCTGCCCCCCGAAAGCCCCTGCCTGTATGGCCTGCACCCCAATGCAGAGACTGGCTTCCTGACGGCCACCTCGGAGATGCTGTTCCGCACTGTCCTGGAAATGCAGCCCAAAGAAACCGGGTCGGGAGCCGGTGGCGCCGGAGTATCTCGCGAGGAGAAGGTAGGAGCCTGACTACCCATCCGGCAACAGAGGAAGGGCAGGGCCTGGGACATGGGGGCACAACGACCGGCAGCAGCCCCTGGGAACTTGTTAGCAACTTCATCGGACCCCACTCCAGACCCCGGGATCAGGAACTCAGGGGTAGGGGAGCCTGCAAGCGGGCTGCTGCAGCCCAGACGGAGCACCAAGTGCTGAGCTAGAGAGAGGCGGGGCGTCTCCGCGTACTCGCCCGAGCAGCCTCCCTCCCTGCGGCTCCTCACTTCCCTGGCTGGGCTCCCGAGAGGGCCTGCCCTTCAACCCTGCCCCGCGAACACAAGGGCAGCAGCTGAAGTCCTGGGAGGGCAGTGCATGTGGCTCAGGCAGGGCAGTCTAGACGCTTAAACCAGTCCCTCCAGATGTGCTTAGGTGAGCACGGGGGACAGATCCCATGAACACCCACCGCAACAGCACGGCGCAGACAACGTAAGAGCATGTAATAAACCCCCAGCTGCCAGGGTTACCTCTGCGTCTAAGAGGCGTCAGCACCTTGGCACTTCTTAAAATATTCCCGACAAGCTCTGCTAAAAATTAGCTAAGTACTGGGCTTCCCAGGTAAGTAGACCAGATTCTTGATTGGAAGACTCTCAGTGCTCTGAGGCCCCTTGACATTTTCTTTGTGTAATGACTGAAACCAGAGATCAGTAGATGCTCTGGTGGCCGTGGTGCTCGTGACCACCATGTGGGCCACCCCTTGAGAGGGTGTGCCCCGCACGGTCCCTGCAGACAGCCCACACCAAGGGCAAGGTGATCTGATGGGGGAGGGAAGCAGTGCATCCAGGGATGTCTGAAGGCACCAGGCTAGGGCAGCCTAATGCTCCCGTGGCCAGAGCCATACGGCCGTGACAACGAAGCCAGAACACTAAAGCCGGATGGCCAAGATTACCTTCCCCTGATCAGACGCGGGGCTGCACCTTCGTGATCCCGTTTTTCTGGCAACTCCACCTGCCTTGCTCCTGGGCTCCGAGTTGAACGTCGGGGCAGCACCCGGGCCCTGGCGCTGGGGGAGGGCTGGGGGTGCAGGCGCAGTGACACGGGCTGGCTGGGGGCTGGCTTCCAGGTGAAGGCCGTGCTGGATGAGATCCTGGATAAGATCCCGGAGACCTTCAACATGGCCGAGATCATGGCCAAGGCCGCCGAGAAGACCCCCTACGTGGTTGTCGCCTTCCAAGAATGTGAGAGAATGAACATCCTGACCAATGAAATGCGCCGCTCGCTGAAGGAGCTGAACCTGGGGCTGAAGGTAAAAACGTGGGTGGCAGGACCTGGGGTGTGACTTGGGACGCGGGCTGGCCACCGCAGGCTGACTTCCCTTGGCCACAAGACCAACAAGCCCCAGGCCGCTGGGCCTCGGCACCTCGAGTTCCCCGGTCTGGAGGAGTGGGCACCTCAGGGCATCTGCAGATGCATCCAGGTGGCCATGGACGCCATCTGGACTGTTCCCTGGCAGGAAACCCTGGTGTGGCCACCACAGGGCATCTGCAGGGGCACTGCACAGACCCACGTCAACTCACGACACAGGGTGGGGGCGGGGGGGGGGGGCTCGCCCACCTGAGAGCAGGTGAAACAAGGCATAGGACTGACCGGGTCTGCATCTGTGCCGAGCGCCCCAGCACCCCTGTCTGCGTGTCCCTCAGGGAGAACTGACCATCACGACTGACATGGAAGACCTGTCCACGGCTCTGTTCTATGACACTGTGCCCGACACGTGGGTGGCCCGGGCCTACCCCTCGAGGTTGGGCCTGGCGGCCTGGTACGCCGACCTGCTGCTCCGCATCAGGGTAAGGACAGGCTTCTGGGGAGCCGCTGGCCTGACTCTCAGCAAACCTGCCCCCAGGGCCTGGGGAGTGAGGCGGGGGGGAGGGAGGCATGCATCCCCGTCAGAGGCCTGGAGGCCCCTGCTGGCCTGGCCTTGGTCAGAGCACAGCCGGAAGGGCCTGGGCCACACCACGAGCACGCAGGCCCGACAACGCAGGAACTTCCTCCCCGGAGGAAGCAAAGGGCCAGCGCGAAGCAAGAGCAGCTTCTGCGGCCACAGATGCAGAGGGCCTCCCAGCAGAGCCCAGAGGCTCCAGGGACACCCGTCACGGGAGCCACCTCCTGGGGGAGAAAGAGAGCAGCAGCCTCTTTCAGACCCAAAGCCTCTCAATCGTGAGCCCCGCTCCTGGACCCTGCTCTCCCCGTCCAGACCGTGAACGGGCGTCTCGGGCAGGCGGCCGTCCTCTGCGCAGAGGCGGGGAGGCTCTAGCACGGCCCCACGCCCATCTCCTCCAGGAGCTCGAGGCCTGGACGATGGACTTCACGCTGCCTACCACCGTGTGGCTGGCCGGCTTCTTCAACCCGCAGTCCTTCCTCACGGCCATCATGCAGTCCATGGCCAGGAAGAACGAGTGGCCACTGGACAAGATGTGTCTGTCTGTGGAGGTGACCAAGAAGAACCGGGAGGACATGACCGCGCCCCCCCGGGAGGGCTCCTACGTGTACGGGCTCTTCATGGAAGGTAACAGGCACTGGCAGGGGAAGCACCAGGGGCACGTGGGCTCACAGTGGCCTGAGGAGCCCAACCACACACCGGCATCCGCTTGGCTCTGCTGCGGTGCAGGCTCGTCCGCAGACCTGAGCCCCCATTTTGAGGCCATGAGGAGCTCAGCCCTGGAGCCCAGGACAGGCATACGTTCTGGGGGTGAGGGTCCAGGAGCCCACCTCTGTCAGGGCTACCGTCCAACCACCGCACCCCCACAAGGCACAGGTTCAGGGGCAGGGAGGCCCGGCCGGCCCCCTCCCCTGAGCCGAGCCCAGTGCGAGGCCATCACATGGCCAGGTCCCAGCAGCGGGGGGGGGCAAGGCTGGCACTCATTCAGTTCCGCCCACGTCACCCCTGTCCCGCACCAGGCAAGGTCAGACAGGACCAGCTGGCAGACCCACTCTGAGTTGAGTGCCAGCGACTCCCCCACCCTCCTTAGCGACTGATGTCACCCCTTTACCCCCCGTGCCCACATCACCAAAGACAAGCAGAGCAGCAACCATTCTCCGTGTTTATTTTGGAATTACAGACAGGAAATCTAAGCATCGTTAAATAGGGTGAGTAGAAATAAGTCTGGTTCAAGGCAGGACAGTTGTATGTGCATATACATATTTGTACTGTGCAGGTGCACATAGGACAGTCGCTACAGAGGGAGGGAAGCAGGGAGTTTAGTCTGTCATTTTCAGCTGGAGTTATGATTTCCTGCCATTGAAACGAAGAAGGCTGACACATGAGGCTCTGAAACCACCACGCACGTAGACAATGGAGCCCAGCGCTTTGGGGCCGATCTGTCCCTCAGAGGTGCACAGCGAGACACACAGGCAGTCACGCCGTGCACACGACCCCCACCCCGTCCTCTGCCTACAGCCCCCCCTGCAGCAATTCCTGTGCAGTCCAGGCCCTGGCACCTGGCCTATCTCTACAGGGGTGCGGGTGCAAGCCAGGCCCCTCCCCTCCCCCACTGCCAGCACGACAGACGGGAACCGGGAACCAGTCACCTCACCCTGGGCCACCCTGACCCTTGGCTGTGCTGTCCCTGCAGGAGCTCGCTGGGACACCCAGCTGGGAGTCATCGCCGACGCGCGGCTGAAAGAGCTGACGCCGGCCATGCCCGTCATCTTCATCAAGGCCATCCCTGTGGACCGCATGGAGACCAAGAACATCTATGAGTGTCCCGTGTACAAAACACGCATCCGCGGCCCCACCTACGTCTGGACCTTTAACCTGAAGACCAAAGAGAAGGCAGCAAAGTGGATCCTGGCAGCCGTGGCGCTGCTCCTACAGGCCTAGCTGGAGCCCCGGGTCCCGCCGTGAGGCCCATGCTGCCCGGCGCCAGGTCCTGACCGCAACTTCAAATTTACAGTTAGGAACTCAGCCTTGCAACTATCACTTATTTTCACAGGAACTGATGATTGCTTTTTTGTTCTCCTAAATAATCGAGGCACTTTATAACCATGCACATCGAGACTAGCCAGAGGGTGGAGGGCAGCCTGGGAGAGGGGGTGTGGATGGGATTAAAACAATGAAGCCACTTAGCCAGGTTTGTCTGATTGATTCACTTGAGCCAGCCTTCAGCCTGATGGCCACCAGGGGCCTGGCACAGGCTTAGGGGTGAGGCCCCAATTCCCGGCAGCCAGGGGAGCATCCCAGGAACCAAACCCCCAAATCCTGACTTCCCACAGGGTCAGCTGGGTTTATCTTTTCCCACCGGTGGCATGTAGGGTTAGAGCTGGAGGCAGCCACACCCTTGCCTGATGCTACCTGCAAACACCCACCACTAAGGGCCAGGGTGTTCCATTCCCGTACAGACAGGAGCGGCCACTGCCACAGGCACTGTCCCCTAAAGCACTATTCCTTCTCTCAAGCAAGAAAACCTCCCTTGATTATGGGTAATGCCGCCTCCCTGCCCCAGAATTCCGAAAAGCAAACTATTCCACGGAGGGGCCATTTCCATACAGCTCAAGTGCTTCCCTGTCAACTTCCCACTTTCTGAAATTGCTGGGAACGAGGGGCCATTTCCATACAGCTCAAGTGCTTCCCTGTCAACTTCCCACTTTCTGAAATTGCTGGGAACGGGAGGGACCACTTTAAACACGTGTCTGTGTCCTGGGAGGTCACAATAAATGGTCGTCCCCTCTTAGTTCTGGGCAGCATCTTCGTTGTCTTTTGTCTCCCTCCCCTCTCCCCACCGTCAGTTCTCACTTCCTGCCACCAGACAAAGTAGACTTTAAAACAATGTCTACAATAGTAGACAAAGAAGGGCATTATATAATGATAAAGGGATCAATACAAGAAGACAATATAACGCTCATTAAACGTATATGCACCTAATATAGAAGCACCTAAACGTATGAGGCAAATATTAACAGATGTAAAGGGAGAAACTGACAATAACACAACTAATGGCAGGGGACTTTAACACCCCTTTAGATCAATGGACAGATCATCCAGAAAATCAATGAGGAAACAGCAGTCTCAAGTGACACGTGAGGTCAGTTGGACTTAATAGATAACTAGAGCACATTCCATCCAAAAGCAGAAGATACGCATTCTTTTCAACGTTCAGGATGGATCATGTGCTAGGCCACAAAACGAGACTTGACAGTTTACGAGCACAGAAATTATATCAAGCATTTTGCCCAACCACAACAGTATAAAACTAGAAAGCAATTCTAGGAAGAAAAATGGGAAAAATACAAACACACGGAGACTAAACAACATGCTACCAAAATCAGAAAATACTTCGAGACAAACAAAAATAAAAATACAACTTTCCAACATCTATGGGACGCAGCAAAACCAGTTCTAAGAGGGAAGTTCATAGCAATACAGGCCTACCTCAAAACAAGAAAAATCTCAAAACAACCTAACCCACCATCTAGGAATTAATTAGAATTAGAAAATGAAGAACAAACAAAGCCCAAGTCAGCAGAAGAGGGACAACTGCTCAGCAGCCAAGACACCCCGACTTCCAAAAAGGTGAGCGTGTCCGCAGGCACTGCGCCCCAGGGCCGCACGCTGCAGCACCGCAGCAGGCACAGGCGACAGGCGCACGCGCGCACACACACGCGCGCGCGCCAGCAGGGAAGGGACCAGAGGTGGCCCGCCTCATCCGGCCTCATTCTGTGAGCTCCTGCTCCAAGGGGAGCAGGTGGCTACCGCGGTGCTGGTCCCAGGGCTGCCCTGGGCCAGGCCCCCATCTGACGGACCCAGGTAATGGGTGCAGACAAAATGAGACGACGATGAACTGGGAAACCAGGGGTACAGGAAGGCAGCTAGCAGGGCCCACAGACTCCAGCGGGGGCCCACAGGCTGGCACCTCGGTGTTTTCTAGCTTCAAAGCAGAGTAAAGCAAGCACCATGCCGCCGTCCCACACACACACCTGGCCTCCTCCTAAGTTCAACTTGATGCTGAAGTAGTTTTGTGAAAACTTTTTTCCAAGTGTTCACCCAATCCTTGGGTGAAGAAGAGGTCCTAGAAGCCCTAACTCCGAGGCCAATAATTTACAACAATCCTGGGGCCTGGTGGGGCTAAGAGGGAGAAGGAAAAATGCCCCTCAAATCCTCCCTCCCTGGGGCCTAGAGAATCCACCCCTTTGGAAGGCAGGAGTCCTGCCCCCAGAACCTGGCCACCGGGCAACCACCTCTGCCGGCCAGGAGGGGTCACTACAGCCCTTCGTGTCCAGGCTGGAGGGCCAGGAGAGCCACCACCCTGACTGGAGGACATAAAACTGCCAGTGGCCACCAGGCAACTCATTTTAATCCCTGGTAATAACCAAAAAATGGGGAGATTTTCCAGTTTTGCCTTTAGAGCCTGAAATAAAACATTTATTCCACACTCTACACATTGTGGGTAGATGACAAAATTCTCTTCGAACTTTGCGAGAGATGATTCACCTTGCTTGGAGTTGCAATCCAGCCTTGGGGAGGCAGAGCCTGGGACAAAAGCTATGCTGCGTCTGAAGGTGCCGTGACGCCCGCAGCAGTCCTGGTGGGTGGAAGGGTAGGGGCCCTGGCTGGAGCGAGCGCCCGGGGGGTGGGGTGGGGGGGCCGCCCAGGACCGTCCCAAAGGCAACCAGCAGAGACAAAGCGAGCAGCTCGCAAAGCGGGCAGCCACAGATTGCTCAAGCCCGGCAGTGGCACAATGCTCGCTCTGGCCCCACAGCATCTGCAGGAATGCAAACGCTGTTTACCGAAAGCCTCTCTCCAAACAGAAACCCAGCGCCCCGGCACAGGCACATTCTTTTGGCTTCCCTCCTCTCACTGTCCCACAGGACAATTTAATAACTAGTTTGGAGGCAAACAGTGTTAACTGATGTGCCACTGCCCCCAGGCAGCGTGGTGTGGCCACTGCTCCACCCAACTCCCCACCACAAAAGCCTGCAGATCTGCCCAGGCCCAGGGGAGGGGCTGACGAGGTGATCCCCGCACCGGCGCCCCACGCACACAGCAAGGTGGCGCGAGCTAGGCCAACCACGGCCTCCCAAGACCCACGGACGAACGCGACCATCGGAGCCGCCAGCCCTTTGGAGGGAGACACGTGAAGCTGCCTCCAGGGCAGGTGGGCAGGGATGGAATCCCGTCTGCTGCCCCCAGCCCCAAGGATGAGCTGCCATGCCCTGGGGCTGCGAGGCCTTCTCTCTGGGCAAGGTTCAAGCACCTGAAGGTCTGGGGACTGGGCAGGGAGGTTCTGAAATCTGCTCCTGGAGACACTGAGGGCGGCGCAGGAGCACACGGGTAGATATCAGAAGAAACACAGGTAAAAGAGTCAAAAGTGGCTGCTAGGGGGAAGGAAGGGCAGCTGCATCTTGGCCTTTCAGTATTATTTTACTCTCTAAATTCGCATGTTATTTGAATGAAATTTAAAGTAATTCAAATGCTGAGAAAAAAATGAAACAAATAAAATTTTTTAAAGTGAGGCTGAAAAGAGAACCATGGTACCAGGCCGCAGGGGACGCGGGCCACACACAGTGCCAACGCGGACGACGCTCGGCCGCTCAACCCTTCATCCTTGTCCTCCCGCCTCCTCTCTCCCTTCCCCACAGGCCAAAGGCCCAACCATTCCCATCCCCCCAAACCCCTAGCGTGGGCTGGACCAGCAAAGTCCGGCCCAGACCATCCCACCCAGGAGACTGATCCCATCTGGGGCCACACGGCGGGGAGGTCAGGGTCTAAAGGGATCTGAAACACACGGGGGACTCAGGAGAGACACCGCCTCCGACGGCAGCTGCACCCTGGCCGGCCTCCCGACGTCCGAACAGCCAAGGGGCAGCTCAGGTGAGGCCTCGTCTCGTCCTCCCGTGGGACACGGCCAGAGGCCCGGCCGCCAGGGGAAGGCTCCTGGGCGGGCGGGGCACGTCCTGCTACCAGCTGCCACCACGGCAGCATCTCATCTCCGCAAGCGCACGTCACAGAAACGTCAGGGAGATGAGGCAGCAGCCCCGGGGCCTCTCATGCTGGCAGCTGCAGCGGCCCAGGGCAGCAAGCCAGGACGCTCCCGACCAAGAGTGCTGCCCCTCCGCTCCCACTGCCTTCGGAACGGCGTGCTCAGCGGTGAGGAGGGGGCGCAGAATCTACCTCTGTACCCGGTGGCCACCAGGCCCTCACCCCAGGGCCGCCTCCGGCCCCCGGGGAAGGGAGAGCATTGGTGGGCCCCACAATGCTGACCGCACCACAGCCCCAGGACGTGGCAGAAGGGAAGAGGGCTGCCTCACTTAGCACCAGGCTTCCAAAACCTCCACAACCACCCACGAGCCCAGACATACACCCCTGGACATGTAACCAAGAAAGGACGGAAGGGCCCTGGAGTCCCTGCGAGAGGCCCTGGGGACCCCCGCTGGGGGGAGCCCCCTGTCCCTCTAGTGACCCCCTGGGAAACCGCACTGGGCCGGCCTGGTAGTCAGTACCTGCTGTCCTCAGAAGAAGTTCTTAATCAGCGGAGTCACCATCTTCACCCACAGCTTCACCTGCCGGCTCGGCTGCTCAAAGGTGGCAGAGGACACCGCACCAGACCTCAGGTAGAGCTGCGCCTGCTCCTGGGGAAGAGGGGCGGACAGGGGTTGGGGTCAGCTCCAGCACCGGTGACACGGCCCGCCGGCCCAGGGGCTCCGTGGGGGCCCCAGCGCAGGTCGCCCCGGTACACATTCCTTAGAAAAGCCAAGAAGCCAGTGTGCTTCAATTTTTAAGACCAAGCAAGATGTGTGTGGGACAGGCAATTTAGAGTTGAAGAAATACAGCTGGTGGAAAAAATATTTAAAAGTTCGCCCTCACTAAATGAGGTAGTGCCAATTAAAATAATGAGATTTTCTTTAAATGAGACACAGTTTTTTCTTCTCTCAAACTAGCAAAAAGTTGTTTTGCATCATCGCCCTCTGCTGACGAAGGCCGAGGGAACAGGCACTCCCGGACGCGCTGGTGGAATGAATGGAAAGGGGGCTCGGATCATCTGTCTGTAGAGCAATTTGGCAACAAGTACCAAAAGCCTTATAAAGCTCCACTTGCAAGAGTTTATCCCGAGAAAACAACTGTGCACTAAGATCCCTGTGTACTGATATTTATCACAGCAACATTTATGACAGAGAAAACCTGGAAACCCCCTAAATGTCCACCAACCAGCTAATTAAATATAATAAACCCATATGACAAATCAGCATTCACCATAAGATAATCATACTCTAGAAAAACATTTACTTAACAATACGGGAATGTGCACAAATATATTAAGTGAAAGACACTAGACATGAGTTAACATACACAATATAATCCTACTTTCGTGAAGAAGAAAAAAACAAGTTACACGTCTCCATACGCACACAGAACCAGACAGACAAGGAGCAATCAAAACGATTTCAGTGACTCTCACTGGATGAAAGGTTTAGCGTCTTGTAACTTTTCTCGATTCTTACAATGAACGATTCTTACATATTTAAAAAACAAGTTAAAAAACACTGATAGAAGCCTCATCTTAAATTGTGTTTAGAATCTTTGAGAGGAAAAACTGCCTCTTTTTAAAACATTACACCCTACAAGTGCTGTGCTTCCTTAATAAGGTATCGAAGCTTTCAAAGGGCAAAAGGCAGCAGTCAGGGGATGTGATTCTGTTTCCACCACCAGGAGTGGTGACATCCCTCTCTGAACCTTCTGTCCCTTTAATCTATAAAATACTGACTTAACCCACACTACGGTGAGGATCCACCCACGCTGGCTTTGCAAACACCCTGTCCACTGCGGGACCGGGAGCCCCAAGGGGACAGTGGATGCCGCCGCACCATCCCGCTGGGAGCTGGACGCTCTCTTCTCTGGGGGCAGGAACGGAAGCCACGTCCCTGGCAAACTCCTCTGACCCAGTGAGGACAGGGGATGAAGGACACCGCGCCCTCCAGGACACTACAGAATTTGCCCACAGCTCTCCGCGGCACGGGCTGGGGCCATCTCGTGCCCGGCCTCACATCCTCCTGCACGTGTTTTGCGCTCACTCCCTTGTGAGTGGGTGCTCCCAGGGCCGGGGTCCCTGGCGCTTCAGGTCCGAGCAGACTTTGCCGGCCGCCCGCTGACCATGGCTGGATGGGCCTCATGGAGGAGCCAGCCGGTCTCGGGGGGCTGCTTTGCAGAAGTTTCCACAGACCCGGCTCCAGCTTTATGTTTTCCAATGAAGACACAGCCAAGATTTCAATTAAATTACCAGAAACACTTAAGTCTCCTCACAGACTCCACACGGGGATGGAGAAGGAAGTCAGCTGGTCGAGGTTACAATGCTGTTCAAGGGAGTCTTTCTTAGGTCACAAGTGGTAAACCGTGTCCTCTGAACAAAACCAGGAAGCTTTCAGTTTTTATTGTATGTACTAAGTGAAGGGAGGGACTTCGGATTCGGATAAAAATATCTCCCCACTCTGGTGCCCAGTGTGACATGAACAGGGCCCTTCCCTGGGTCCCCAGGAGGACTCCAGAGGCAGCTTCTGAGAGCAGGGACCCAGGCAGCCGGGGTTTCAGGGACTTTCTGGGCTCGGGGAAGGTTGTGTGGCTGGGCAGTCCCAGCATCGGGCATCGTGTGGGCCTCTCCAGAGGGTGGCTGCAGTCCCAGTATATAATAGGTGGAGTTATCCAGAAATGCATTTTTGCATTTCAAAGGCACAGAAATCAACGTGCCTCTAAAGAACGGAAGGACTGCAGTGGCATGAACTGTCACCCTCCCACCATCAAAAGCCGCTGGGATTCAGGTTTGGGAAGAAAAACAAAATATCCCAAATATGTCATTTGGGAACGCAGCTCCTGACCACAAGCGGCCCAGCTTTTCTCAGATCCAGGATGTGGGTTCAGGCCCCTTACTCAGGAAGTGGGGGAGAGCGGCCAGCACCGGGACCCTGGGCAGAGACTTGCTCCCCCAAATCAGCCCAGACCCACAGAGACCTGGTCCTCGCCAGAGGCCACGTTCACACTGACCACTCGCTACCGTCTGAGGAAACCCAGCTCTCAGCAACCGAGGCAAAAGTCCAGGAGACCCCACTGTTCCTCTCAACCCAGCCCGCTCTGAGGCCGGCCGGCCCCTACTGGAACCTCCTCGGTCATTTGCTGGAAGCCTCACCATAGCATCTGTGATCTGCTGAGCAGATCAGATTCTCCCGCTGGCCACCCAGAGCCCGACCGCTGCCACTTCCTCTCAGCCCTGGTCGTGAAGCCCTTCCCAGCACCAAGGCCCCACTCAGTCACTGACAAGATTCCCAGATTGCAGGAGGCAGATCCCGGGGAACAAGGCAGTTACCATTTCCTTGTCCATCAACAAAGGCTCCAACAATTTCGCAACAGTAGTTCCCAAACACAAGAATAAAAGCTTAACTCAGTCTACACGCTTCTGAGGGCTGGCCTACAGCAGTGTTATCTACATTCCCATGACTCAGGAGGGAAGCTGGCACCTTCCCTGGAAAGGCTTTGTTGTCAAGGTCACAAATTTGTGACCCCAAAGGATCATCTAGGTTTCACATACACAGGTGCTGTGCTCGCATTCTCCGAAGTTCATCAGCACTGCTGCAGGTGCTCAAACGCGAAGATTCACACAGAAGCACTAACTTTCAGTTATTCTCGACTTCAAACAGAAAGACCATCACGAAAGGAGGCCGAGACCGCTGCCCCTTTGGGAGTCACTGCCACGTTCCTATCCCAGGGAGCAAAGGGCACTCTCCCCTGCCCCGACTCTCCAACCTGACCGTGGGTCTCCAGCAGCCAGCAGCAGGGGTTCAAGGTGCCGTCCCCCGTGACTCTCCAGCCCCACCTCAGAAGAAAGGGCTGCTCTCCCGTGAGCCGTGCCGGGAAGTCTCTTCCCAGGGGAGCGGGAGGTCCTCGGTGGGCCACATAACACGCCCACCGAGCCAGACAAAGCAAGTTCGGTTCTCTCTCAGGCTCTAGGTCCGCTCTCTCGAGAAAAATGCCTGCCTTCCCCTCTCACAACTGTAAGGAAAGAAATCCTATTACAACTAGGAACGTGACAAAAACAACACAGAAATTCCAAGACACCTTGGAAACAGGGGCCTGCCTTGCCCAACCGCCATCCCCTGACACGGGCAGGAGGCGAGGCAGCCACGACCTTCCACTGCGTCCCGCCCACCACCGGCCCCCACAAACATGCTACAAGGGGCCCCTGCGCCTGGCCAGGCACACCTCTGAGCAGTCCCTCCACCATCTCCTCTGTAGGTCAATCCCCAACCAGATCATTACCAAGTGAAACAATCTGAACTAAAATAAATAGAATTCAAGTTCTCAGCACAGTAGGATCGTGCATGCTGACTCAAGGGCACAGACAGAAATCTGTGACCGGGACTGTCAGAGCGCTCGCAGCGGCTTAGCTCCCCACGAACCAGCTCTGTCTGCACGGGCGTCTAAGTTCATTCTATGGTTTGGCTCTTTTTTCCGGGTTCTCTGTCTCCACGTGCAGAGACTCTGGCTCCCTGCGTGCCCCTTCTGCCTGGGTGGCAACCCTGCCTCCTGCCTCTCCCTCCCCCGACTCTGAAGCACCTCCTGGGGAGGGTCTTCATCAGAAATGACCGAGGCCGCCTGAAGCTCTTCCCTAATGGACCCAGGTCCCGTGTAACCCTGGCTCCTAACCCCCTCTCGTAGTTGATCCGCAGTCTCAGAAGAGGCTGGGAACCAGCGCTATATTCACATGCCAGTGAGAACAGTGTTCTCTTCCCATGCAGGGAAAGAAAATGTCCTCCAGGATGTAAGGAGTTGTGGGGGAGCCCCTGCAGGGCAAAAGCGGGCCCCGGGCTGGAGGCAGAAGGGCCCAGGCTTCGCAGGACAGCCCCGCGGCAGGTGTCCCTCAGGACCGGCCACCAGGACACGCGAGAGGACGCCGGTTCTTTCCTACTCTGCTCAGCCCCCGGCAGGAGACGACGGCAGAGGCAGCCCTCGGGGACCTGGCTCCCAGCTATGCCCCCCCCACCCCCGGGGAGGTCCCACCCACCCCAACCGACCTGGTGAAGCTGCTGCTGCAGGGCCCGGCTCTCCGTCACGATGGCGATCTGGGCCTCCAGGTCCCGGTGAACTGACCTGTACCCAAAATTAGGAGAGCCAATCAACGTGAGGCAGGGCAGGCTGCTCCCTGCCAGGTACAGCCAGAGGCCTGCAGGGAAAAGGAAACGTGCAGACAGGAAGTGAGCACAGCAGCTGCCACAGCCTCTCCAGTCGCGCTCCAACCTAAGAGGAGAGCAGCCCCCCACGGGGTTTGCGTGAACAAGACACCGAGGGGACGGGCTAAGCAGGGGCCACGTCTGCCCAGCCCAGGGTGCTGCCAGGAGGCGCAGGGACCGCAGCGTCTGTAGGGCAGCCCGGCACTAGGGACACTCACTGGGACAGCTCCCCTTTCTGCCACATGGCACGCTGTGGCCTCTTTTCCCGACAAGGCGAGAAGTGGGTTCTTAAAAGGACCATGGTGATGCCAGTGCTCAGGCTCTGTTCTCACCCCCACCCACCCCGCGATGCTACCAGAGCCCATCCCAGAGAGCGCAAGACCTCTAATCCCCACTCTCCGAACTGCCTCAGCCGCGTCCTGGCCACCATCCAGCCTCCCCTGTCCTTCCGCAGGCCCGGAGGGAAAGCGGCCCCCAGAGCTCAGGTCACACCTGCTTCTCAGGAAAGAAGCCAGCTGACCCGTGGGCTCAGGAACAGAGATGCTTTCACCCAAGCCAGCAGACGTGGGGCGGTTACGGGCATGACGAAGGACTGGGTTTAAGAGCGGGTTACTTGGCAAAGCAGGCCGTAAGCAGCCTGTGGGGTGGAGGGCATCTGTCCTTCCTCCTAGAACTGGCGTGAGGACGGCCCCACCAAAACCCTTGCAAGAGCAGAGGGCAGAGAAGCGAGGGGACTGGTCCAGCCCCCAACTCCTCCCAGAGGAGCGCTCCGTGGGCCCAAGTCAGAGCTCTCGATGTCTGGGCTCCTATGGGATTTTGTCCCAAATCTCTTAAGGTGGAGCCTGGGTCTGACCGAGCTATTAAGGGTCCCTGCAAGGGGAGGAGCAGCCCAGCACGGGCCCTTTAAGAGGGTTTTGGGGCGGGGGACAGCCGATAGAGCCCCAGCCTGAAAACAGAGCTCAGGTTACTCCACGCTGCATCCACCTGCTGCATCTACCTGAAGATGAGCTGGGCCCTGCCTCCCCAGGGCCACTCGACTCTCCCTCGCTCAGACTGCTGACTGTGAAGCCCATCGGGGCACCAGAAATGAGCCTGCTGGGGGCTCGGGGCTTTAGGCCAGACAGACGAGAGGTCACGAGAGGCCAGCGCACGAGAGTACCTGGGAGACCCGGTCCGTTTCAGTCCCAACCCAGACAACACTGCTTCCCCCTTTTTTGCTAGAAAATGAGCCAGTTAATACCACAGACAGAGGAAAAAGCAGGGCTCGGTGTGAGCAGCCATGTGGTAGTGGCTCCTGCCTTGCCCGCCACCCTCCCCCAGCCCTGGGAACTCGCCATCTCTGACAACACCACAGCGACATCTCTGTAATGAAGGTGGTGGATTCTCTCAGAATCCTACATGTCACCTGAAACACGGCAGGCAGGTCCTCTGCTTTGCACCCCATTCCATCCCCTCTGAGTTCCAGGCCCCATCAGGACTACTTCTCCTAAAAAGACTATTCCCCAAACCTAACCTCTCAAGGACATCTGCTGCCCAGACTTCCTTCCTCCTACGGCGAGCCCAGGCTTGCATCTGGCCTCTTCTATCTTTCCCTCCACGCTGCACCAAGAGCGCCCAGGCCAGGACACCCAGTGTGGGAACGTCAGTCCCAGGCTCCTCTGCAGGCCACTCTGCACAGGGCTGGCCTCCTCGCACCCTTCCACCACCACGGGTCTCTCCCCTGCCAACGTGAGACTTTCAAAGGGCACACAGGCACGCAGGAGCAACACAAGCAAATCAACAACATGTAACACACACCACGCTCCTAAAATAGAAGGCCATTTCCTAATTCTCACTCAGAACAGGAGCATTTCCAAGAACGTCTTGGGTAAGAGATGACGACTCTCTGCTGCCTGTTCCTGTAATATGCCTGCCACCCCCCCAACACACACACACGCAGGGGCCACATCAAAGCCACTGGCTTGTCCGTGTGTATTGCTCGATCGACTGTAGCCCGCTCCGCTGGGCCGCTGCATGTAAGCAACCGTGTGGCTCATCTTAGCACGCGGCCAGACCACACGGGTGGGCAGGCTGGCCCTGGCACTCTGCTCCAGATGCCCAGGGAGGTCCGAGTGTCCTCCTCTGCAGTAAAGGCCCTCCATCTGCACTAGGCTCAGCCGCCCCGCCCCAGCCCTCCATAAGGTCAGGGCTGGGTGAGATCTCCACCTGTTGTCACTGTTCCAACTCTTCTTTTATTCAATGTATTTTATTATTTCGTATATTTTTTTTTTTGGCTGCACCACATGGCTTGCAGGATCTTAGCTCCCCAACCAAGGATCAAACCCGTGCCCCCTGCAGTGGAAGCTCAGAGTCCTAACCACTGGACTACCGGGGAATTCCCTGTTCCAACTCTTCTGATGCCAAGATTGGCCCCGTAAAGACATTGGGTCTGCTTGGTGCTACCTGTCCAGCTGGCTTGCCCAAGCCTACTTAGAGAGGGGACAGGTGAGAGCCAGGACTAAGGAGGCCCAACACCCACATGGGTGATGTGGGATTAGGCTGGTGTAAATCACTTGCCACCATGACCCTGTGTCCCTCCAAGGCTCCAGACCACAGCGTCTGGCAGAGAAGGTGGGAAGGGCCTGGTCTTACACGTACTTATTTGTAAAATCTGCCTAAGGGCTTCCCTGGTGGTGCAGTGGTTGAGAGTCCGCCTACCGATGCAGGGGACGCGGGTTCGTGCCCCGGTCCGGGAAGATCCCACATACCACGGAGCGGCTGGGCCCGTGAGCCATGGCCACTGAGCCTGCGCGTCTGGAGCCTGTGCTGGGAGAGGCCACAGCAGTGAGAGGCCCGCGTACAGTAAAAAAAAAAAAAAAAAAATCTGCCTAACCGCAGACCGCTCCCTCTCAAGGCAGCCTATGGGTCAGCCATCAGAGGCAGGCAGCCCATCTCAGCCCGGCCCGCAGCTCCCCAGTATGGACCACTGCTTCTCAACCTGTTTTCATTCCTGATCCCTGAAGGAGCTTTTTAGCCCTGCTGAAGACTTTTCCAGCACCCTCCCCAAGAACCAGTCTCTGCTCCGTGAGGCAGCATCAACCCTGTTGGTTGTGTATGACATACACCTATTTCTTCTCTTTTCTCTCTTCCCTGCCACCTCGGCCTCCCTCAGCTTCTTTCCTCTCTGGCCCAGGGTGGACTTCAGGCGAGGGCTTGGATTAAAGAGGCAGCGCTTTTTTACCTACTGACCACTTTGGTGAGGCCTGCAATCACTCAACCAACTTTCCCTGTAGACTCATTTGCACGGTCTTTCTCCATCGAAAAGAAAATAAAGACCATAAATGGCGAGACGGCCACCCTTTGGCGTGCCGTGATGGGGCGGGGGTTAGCGCAGCGTGGGAAGCCAGAGGGGGATGCCACACGGTGCCACCAGCAGCTCCACATGATGCCCACAGCCTCAGAGAGCCCGGGACAGGGGCCCACTACGAACAACAGTCCTTCTAGATTGAAGACCACCAAGTCAGGAGTTTTTAGCTATTGGTCTGTGCCCTGAAGACAACTGGGAAATTCTCACTCGGCCTCCCAAGAGGCCCTTTGGAGCTCCCCTCCCGCCAGACACACAATGCCACTCAGGATGTCAGGGTGAATACACACAAAGGGTGAGACTGCCGGGCAGGGACTCACTGTCGGGAAACACAGCACTTCCCAGCCCAGCCATAAACCTGTTATCAAGCCCCAAGTCCTCATCCCAGGGCCCGACCTTTGGGCCCAACACCTCCAGCATTCCCGGAACCAGTGGATCAGGGAGAGACTCTGCGGCAGCAAGGACGGCACAGGAGGGGAGAAAGTGCCTTTGGGGGTGGGGGGGGGAACACTGAACTTCAGCACCGGGGACAGCAGGTCTCACCACAGAGGGAGCGTGCCATGGGTACAGAGATGACTGGACTTGGAGGCCAACAACTTCCACTGCCTCCCAGCTCTGCAATGAGACATCCTGCCCCACGCCCTGGCCTCCTCTGTAGGGAGAGAGACACCTGCTTCCGCTCTGCTCGCGCCGACGGTCCTTCACAGTCCCAGCATCATGCTGAAGGGTAAACCAGAGAGCCCCAGGCTGCCCGCAGCCCTGGCTCACCCTGGCCTCCAAGCCGCTTCCAACTTCAGTGCCCATCCTCTGCTCTGACCACCCTGGCCCAGGGGGTGTCCTTCAAGCCTAGTGTAGTCTCGGGGCTCCACGCTTCTGTTCCCTCTGCCCGGACCTCTCCTGCCCGGGGGGTCTCTGCTCAGTGTCACCTCCTCAGAGAGGCCCTCCCTGACCCCCATCTAACAGACCGCCATCAACCTGGAGCCCCCTCCTGCTCTGATCTTCTTCAAAGCCCTTTCCACGACCTGACATTGTATTTGGATAGATTCATCCACTTCTTATCTGCTTCCCAGTAACCCACACCTCACGAGGGCAGGGAGTTGGTCTAGTCCTCAGTGATGTATCCCCAATGCCCTGAATGCTGCCTAGCACACAGCAGGCCCTCAATAAATACTTGTTTGAACAAAATAAGTAAAATGCGGATAAAAACACCTCTTCCAGGGCTTCCCTGGTGGTGCAGTGGTTGGGAGTCCGCCTGCCGATGCAGGGGACATGGGTTCGTGCCCTGGTCTGGGAAGATCCCACATGCCGCGGAGCGGCTGGGCCCGTGAGCCATGGCTGCTGAGCCTGCACGTCCGGAGCCTGTGCTCTGCGACGGGAGAGGCCACAGCAGTGAGAGGCCCGCGTACCGCAAAAAAAAAAAAAACATAAAAAACCACCTCTTCCAACAAATGTTTAAGTATATAAAAAGGCCTTGAGGTTCTACAGCAGGAGCACATGAACATTTCAGGTTAGAGACCTTCTTTGAGGATCTCTCCAGGAAAAATTCAAAATTATGCACCCCTCCCTCTCCTCCCCACACAATATTCTGCAATAAATTTCAGAGGGTTCTCAGATCCCTGTAAAAACAAGAGGGGACAGAAGACATCACAG